AATAAAAAAATTAGCCGGGTGTAGTGGTGCACGCCTGTAGTCCCAGCTACTAGGGAGGCTAGGTAGGAGGATCACTTGAACCCAGGAGGTAGAGGCTGCTGTGAGCTGAGATTGCACCACTGCACTCCAGCCTGGGTGACCAAATGAGACCCTGTCCCCCGACAAAAATTATTCACACAGTGTGAAAATGGATGGATACAAACAGCATACAGGAATCCAAGAGGACAAAGTCCTTCATGGATGAGCGAGAGACTGACCGTGTCAAATGCTGCCGGCGGGTCAGGAAAGAACCGAAGTGAGAACTGACCACTGACTTGTACAAGGTGAGCTTCACCACTGACCTGGATAAGAGCAGCTTCTGAGGTGTGAGGAGCCCAAAGGACCACCTTGAATAGGGCTGAGAGAAGCCAGGACAAAAGTTACAGAGGTGAGCAACACAGCCAACTCCTTATGGTGTTTTCCTTCAAAGGAAACAGAGAAATCTGGCAATCTGGCCCTTTGGTCAAAGTGTTTTTAAGGTGGAAACCTTATGTCTGGGTATGCTAATTTGAATGGTCCAGGAGAGTGGCAATGGCTGAAGTGAGGTACTGGGTTAGGTGAGGTGGGATGGGAGTCAAGGACCTCCCATAGGAGGTGCAGCAGCTGAGTCCCGCAGCAGGCAGGACTCCTGGGATCTCACCATCTGAACTTATCATTCCCTTTGGACCTACGCCCCAACAACGAACCAGCCAACTGGGCTTGGTCAGCCAGGTGGTTCCTATCGATTCCAGTCTCTTCTCTTCCATGTAAGCCCATTGGGCTGAATTCCCAGATTTCCTTGCGACAAGTGAACTTGAGTTAGGACAATACAGTCATTACCCTCAAAGAACAATATAACTGTGTGTGTGTGCAAACAACACTGCTTAACAAAAACCCATTCTAAACAACCAAGGCAAATGCATGGGTGCTGGGTGAGAGAGCCAGCGCATCCCTGATGGGCACTCCCAGAGGCTGACCGGAAAATGCGGGCTTTGTTCAGGTGCGGAAGTGATGGGGAATGCAGAGGGGGCCATGTGCCAGGAAACTAGTGCAGTAAATAGAGACTGATGCGTTGTGTGTGCAAAGCATGATCCAAGGACCCAAGTCAGGAAGGGACTTGGGAGGAGACAAAAATGGATCTTAGCGTCAGGGTTATGACAGAAGTAACCCACAGAACTAGAGTGTGGAGGGATGCAGAAGGCTCATAGAGGAGTGGGGCTGCGTACTGGCCTTTGAAGGCTGGGTAGGATTTGGCAATGGCAGGGCCCAGCAGGCAGCAAAAAGTGAAGGATGACAGGAGCAGGTCAGAGATTCTGAGGCCAGCACTCACAGGTTGAGTTTAAACTGGACAGTAGCCACAGACAGCTCTGGAGAAAAGCATGACACAGGCAGGATCATGTTTAATGATGCTCAATGGTGCCAACACTGGAGGTCTGGAGATAGGGTGGCAGAGGGAGTAGAGACCACACCAAGTGGCCGACTACTTCATGCAGATGCCAGAACTGGGGGACTTATTGGAAAGGAAAGAGGGCACCCAAGACAATGTTAAGGTTCTGAGTGTGAAGGCCTGGGTGCATTACCTGAGCTCTGGGTGTGGAAGGAGATGCTGTTGGTGGGAACTGAAAGGCTTGGTTTGCACATGCTAAGTTTGAGGTGTTATGAGTTTCCCAGGCAAAAATGCTCAAGAGGCATCAAAACCAGTGTCTGCAGTTCAGGAGTGAGGTCCTGGCTGGAGACCCAGATGTAGCAATGTCGGCACAAGGATGAGGAGATGGATGATGCCAGCAAGGGAGAATGCTCAAGGTAAGAAAAAGTGAGTCTCACTGATCAGGTACAGGAGCTGCCATCACACCTGTAGCAGGTAGACCGCTGGGCAGTATACCCTTCCTTCCCATCTGTCTGGGTCTCACCTACCCTTCTGGGCCTGGCCCCACCCGCTCTGGGAAGCCCTCTCTGGCTACTCCATCCCTCAGGCATCCTTCCCTTGCTGTGAGCTTCTCAGCCCTGGCCAGCCCCACCTTAGCACTGGGTCTTTTGTTGCCACCTTGGTGTAGTCCCCAAGCACCTTGAGGGCAGAATGACAGTTAACCCCCATGGGCGATTGCATTTTCTGGCACAGAGTACCCAAAAGGCACTGATTAAATAGATCCTCCTTCTTGAGGAATTAATACATTGATCAGTTGCTGAAATGGAGATCAAGAAAGAAAGGTGAGTTTAATTAGAGATAAAAAGACTCACAGATGTTGGACTCATACAGCATCTGCTCTTTTGTGTCTGGCTTACTGATTCATCATGATGAACCAGGACTACATGTATCAGCATGGACACATGTCAAAATCACTGTCGCATAAACATAACAAGTTGCAGATGTATGTTAAACCAACGGGAGTAGGCACAAGCACCATAAATACCAAATATTTCAGGTTCTCTCAAGCACAAGGTAGGAATGCACTTCCCTACCGCCATGGAGGTAGGCTGAGTGTGGCCATGCGACTTGCTCTGGCCATTTAAATGTGAGCAGAAGCTTCTGAGTGGAAGCATTTTTTCCTTCTTCCTCTCTATCGCAGACCTTTCTCAAATGTGTATAGGAGTGAAATACATATGTTCATTGTACTAAAAAAGAAATAAATAAATAAAAGGAAGAACTGAATCTAAGGCAAAACTGTGGGACTGCAGAGGGGTGTGTCCAGTGATTCTGGGTAGGGGCACTCTTGGCAATTTGGGAAAACAAGGGGTTGTAAGGTTGGTAGAATGGAAGGTCAGCATTCCTGGCCCCATCCCTGAAATGCCGGAAGTGTCCTAAGTTATGTGACAATCAAAATGCCCTCTCCCTCCTTCACCATTTCCAAACACTCTGGGGGGTAGTGCCAGCCCCAAGGGAACCATGAATATAGAAGAATCACCAGACGCAAGGGCGGGAGGCACAGTCGCAGCTTGACACAGCCAGGCTGGGGGAGGAAAGGATGTGACACCGTAATCAGTTCCGTACGTGCTCAAATTGCATGTGACAAGTTGAAAGAGAGAGGATGCCTTCCTTAGCTGACAGAACAGAGGGGACTGTCCTGGAGGGAGACTGATGACATGGATATACTAGTGGTATAATGCACCAATGTCAATTTTTTGAGCAGCTATGAACTGTAGCCTTTACATGGAGTCTCGCAGGGTCCTCTGAAAATCCCACGTCATTCTCCCCCTTTTACAAATAGGGAAACTGAGGGCTGGAGAGCTGGGGGCTAGATAATGGGGCAGAGATGACAAAACTCAACTGAGAGGATTCTGAAGCAGAGCAGGTGGGGCTAAGTGAAGACCTGGAAGGTAGGTGGAAAGGGAGCAGGACCCATGCCAGTTGGAGGAAGAAGAGAAGGGGACTCGGGGGTGATCTTCCCCCGCAACCCCGCCACCTTCAGCCAATCCAAATTGTGTAGGTAGCGACATCCAGCAGAGAACTGGATGGGGAGTGACTCCTGAAAGCTGCCCTTCTGGGGGCTCAGAGGACCTGCCTCTCAGGGAAGATGGGAACCTCCTCGGGTGCACACGGAATGCTGCTGGGGCAAGCTCCTGGGACACCACGAAACACTCAGCAGCCCTCAGAGCCCACAGACAACCTCTGAAGCAAGAAGGAAGAGAGCTAGTCGCGTGAGCAGGCACTTCATCGATCCTGCAATCCAGCCTCTGTGTGGCCTCTAAGGGACCCAGTGGCATGAGAACACAGAGACACACGAGGGCGCTCTAACCAAATAGCAGGAAAGGAACAGCATCCGTCCCCACACGGAAAAAGGGTTGGCATTTTCAAAGACCTTTGGTCCAGGGTTTCTGAGCGCAGTCGCTATGGTATTTTAGGCAGTAGGTTTCAGGGGCATTTGCTACCCCTGGCCCCCTTCCTATCACTGACCATCCTGCTCCACACATTTCCAAGCACCCCCTCTCCTGAGAGCCCCTGCTGGTCAGTGCCACCAGAAGATGCCAACTGGTGGCCCTGGGGATGGCGGCAGTCTCTGCTGTTCCCCAGCCTTACAGAGGACTCCCGTGCCTCCCACGCTGACCCTGTGAGTTAGGAGCTGGCAGGTGCTGGAGGATCAGAGGTTCCCAGTGACAGTCCATGTTGGCGCCGGCTCATGGGGACTGTCCTTGGGAAACACATTTTCCTCCACGTTTGTTGTCCTTCAGGGTTGTGCAGGAATGGGCCACCCTGATCGCACCAGGGACACAGACACAGGACCCTGAGACAGACGCCACGGGACCTGCTCACAGACACCCAAATCCCAGGAAGCAAACACGTGGCCACACAAAACACAGCTGGCACGAAACTTCCACAAAGCACATCTGAAACAAGGCACCCTCCAGAACCCAGACAGTCCCCAAAGCTGTGAGCTCTGAAACGTTTAGACCATCAGGTTCCCAAAGTCAAGCATCAAAGGTGAATAACTAAGAATGATATTCAATATACACCAACCAATGAGCCCTGGGCCCCAGCCAGTCAGGATGGGGACCAGTGTAAACACCTGGTGCATACGGTGTGCAATCAGCCCTGCAGTCTCTTCGGCTGAGCCCGAGTGCCCCGTGGAAAGCCAGACATGCCAAGATGGCCACTGGGCAGTACAGAGGTGACTTTTTGGGGATACATGTCAAGAGAGACAGGAGTCTGGGCATTTGCTGGGATACCGGGATGGCAACTGCAATGCGAGGACTAGAAACCTGACAGGGATCTGAGAAAATGAAGGGCTGGACAAAGACCCAGACCCCTCCAGATCCTCAACAAATACCCAGCGTTGCCCATTCCCACCAAGAAGCCCCATGGCGTTCTTAAACAGCGGGGCCTGAGAGTCCCAGGAAGTTGATGTCTGCTGAAAGGCATCGCTGGGACCACAGGGCACCTGTGGGCAGAGCTGTTGCCAACCGAGCCGCTGCCACCTGTGAACACCGATGGGCACCGGCTCTTATTCCACGGGAAGCAGACGATGAAAACCAAACATGAGTCTTACCCTCCTTCGAAGATTTTGATCCTTGCCGGCTCCCCTCTCTGGGAGGCAGGAGCATCCTCTTCCGGCTCTCCTCTCCTCTCTTCTTCCTTCTCCACTCTAGCTAGATCTTTCTGGCCTTCCGGGGAAACCAGCGAAGGGAGGTGAACCTGGCCCACCACAGAATGACAAAATCATTGCTGGTCAAATGTTCGTCCTCAGCCATGAATGCAGTGCTAATAATCATGCCTCACATGGCACTGCACAAGTACACATATGCGATCTTCACACTCCTCCATGAAGTGGTGCTATTAGCCCCACTTTACAGAATTAAGGAAACTGATACCCAGAGAGAAGTCCCTAATCCAAGGCTATGCCGTTAGTTGGTGTCACAGCTGGACCTCTGTCTCTTTCAGGTTAACCTCCTGTAAGACCTGTGTTTGTTCTCTCTTTCACACTAGTCTGGGAGATCATGGGGACAGGTCCTCATCTTGGTCTCCTTGGGCCCCCAGCACCCCAAACAGGGCCTGTCTCAGAGAAGATGCTTAAATCATGTTGAACACATAAACAAAGGCTCCACTCTGCCTCTGGAGATAAACTGGCCCAGTCCCTGTTTATAGATCAGAAAGCTAAGGTCACCCAGCAAGTTAAGGGCAGAGCTGGGAGCAGAGCATAGGTCTCTTGCTTCCAGGATCTTGGCCCTCCTGGGCTAGTACCAAAGGCCAGGAGCTGGGCTGAGGGCCCTGACTAGCAGCATGACCCCAACTCCACCACAGAGACAGGCACGGAGAGGCTGTGCAGGCTCTGGGCTGCTAGTCCTGCAGAACCTATGCTCTTTACAGTGCTACGCCTCAATGATGAGAGCCGGCTTAAGGGGAGCGCTGGCACTGGCCTTGCGCTTCCTAGACATCTTCCACTATCCCAAGAACATGTCCTCTAAACGCTCCAGTGTTGTCAGGGATGGGCACACTCTTGCCTAGGGAGCAGCAGCGCTGTGCAGGCCGGGGGCTGGAGTGAGAATTTCCTCGCACTTCATGACACTGTCATGAAGGTCATGAAAAACCACACTGTTTCCAGCCAGTAAATGAAGCAACCACATTTCCTGAGGCTGGGACAATCTAAGAATGACAGTCCTCTATGCCAGCCACCACCAGACAGTCCCTGACAAGGACAGCATGGGGCTAGATAGAAAGGTGTCTGGCTGGGAATTGCGGAATCTGTTTCAGCACCAGACAGGCTGTGGCACACCAAGCTGCCCTTTGGTGGATGACTTCACCTCTCTGGGCCTCAGAGTCTGAGGGGATTTAGACCATCTTGAAGATCCATTCCAGGGTCAACTTCTATGACTCAGTGACCACCAAATAATCTCTTCAGAATTGGAGGAGGGGAGTGGAAACTGAGCAATACTCTGCACTGCCGCTTTGGCAGAAGGCAGCAGTTTTCTGCAATACCCTTGAGTTTCCAGAGCCTGCCATTTCCACTCCTCTCCGGCCTGTGATCTAGACTGACCATGGAATGACCAAGGGGCCTCCCACAGGCAAACGGACTGCTTCTCCCTCGCAGCCTGCTGTGATGTCTGGGCTACGCTGGAGGAGGCTGATTTGGGCGGCAGGGCATCACTTTCCCAGGAAACACAGTGTTGGAATTGAGCAGGGGCCAGGGATCCATTTTATATTTTGATGACAATACGTATAACTAAAAATACTGAGTGCCAGTGTGCCATGCACTGTTCTAAGCACACTTTGCATGTCTCAACTCATTTCATTATCTCCACAGTCCTGTGAGCTAAGTCTTATTGTTATACCTATTTTACAGAGAAAGAAACCAAGGCTCAGAGAGGTTAAGTTATTGGTTCAAGGTCACATAGCTAGTAGGTAAGATAGTGGGATTCAAACTTGGGGAACTTGGCACCTCAGTCCTTGTTCTTAATCCCTTTGTGACAGTGCTGTGTTGTCAAAATGATTCCCAAGGAGGAAAAAGGAAAGAATATGGCTACAAAGTGGGCTCTTAACAAGCTGGGGTTTCTCTAGGGCTTATATGTGGAAAAAAATCTATGAGCAAACTAAAACATCACAGGGTGGCCTAGACCTGTGTGAAAATGGTTTGAAAGAGCTTTGAAATACTAAGATAGACCTAAGGACCTTTTCAGAACTACTAACAGAATGGGAGCCACAATCTGACATGTCAGCCCAGTACATTAAAGAACCTTCTTGGGCACCATCCAAAGATGGATTGGGTTGTGTCATGAGATGCTGAGTTCCTCTCTCTGTAGGTATGCAAGCAGACACCAGAGAGAGGTGTAGCTGTAGAAAGGCCTTATGCCATAGACAATGAGGTTATATTCATGTACCAGATTGGTGCAATTCTGGAAGGAAAGATGCCAGTGAACCAAACAGAATATGCCAAGAAAAGGTTCGCAGGTTTTAGGAGCATTATACATAAATAATTGCCAAATCCAATTAGGCCAAATTAACACTGCCTTTCTCTTAAATGGCCTATAACAATTTCACTCATTAAAAACTAGAGGCACCTTAGATAATTCAAAGGGGCAATGGAGTAAAATCTAGTTCTGAATCTAAGCTCTGCCATTTACTGTGTGGCCTTGTGAAAGTTACTTAACCTCTCTGTGTTTTGGTCTCCTCATCTATGAAATGGTGATATTGCACCCTAACTTTCAAGGTGGTTGTGAGGAGAAAAGTAACATTTAGCATAGTACTTGGTACATAATAGGTACCCAAAAATATGAACAATTATAACAGCATCTTGGCAGTGGCCATAGCTAGTAAGAGACACTGGAGAGGAAATTAGCACGACATTAACACAAAAGTGGAAATCTTGGTCAGGGATGTCTGCAGACTGACAAAGACATCTAGAAAATAAATTTGGAAAACAGCTTTGTGAAGAACATCCAGTCAAGCTAAGGACAAATTCAATGTGCAATGTTTGCAAAGAGGAAGATATGAGAGCACGGGAAATTACAGAACACAGTTTTGCTCACTTATCTAAAATGTGAATTTAGTTTAGGGAATTTAGACCTGATTTGGTCAGACCTTCTGGTCTGAAGACACACTAACGAATATTTTTAAATTTGCAGTCATCTTTTAAGATTTTCTCTCCTCAATTAAAAGAAGAAAAATAGACTCTTTGGAGTCAGATAGGTCTGGGTTCAAATTCTGGGTTTGTCCAACATTTGTCAGATGACCTTGACTTTTCTCAGCCTCTGACCTTCAGTTCCCTAAGCTATAGAAGGGAGATGGTTATGTTACTTCCGAGGTAGAGGTGAGCAGTGACTAGATTCAAGGGCTCAGCACAGTGCCTGGCACCATGAGGCTGCTCAATAAACAAGACAAGTTATTATTCCACAAATGCCAAGTCAGCATAACCCAAATCCCTAGGCTGGCCTTGTCAGGGTATGGTGGTGAGTTTTGTCTGAAGGTTTGAAATTACTGAATTTCAGCCAGGCACAGTGGCTCAAGCCTGTAATCCCAGCACTTTGGGAGGCCGAGGTGGGTGGATCACAAGGTCAAGATATCGAGACCATACTGGTCAACATGGTGAAACCCCGTCTCTACTAAAAATACAAAAAATTTAGCTGGGTATGGTGGTGCGTGCCTGTAATCCCAGCTCCTCGGAGGCTGAGGCAGGAGAATCACCTGAACCCAGGAGGTGGAGGTTGCGGTGAGCCGAGATCGCGCCATTCCACTCCAGCCTGGGTAACAAGAGCAAAACTCCGTCTCAAAAAAAAAAAAAAAAAAAAAAAGAAAGAAATAAATTACTGAATTTCAAACTTGCTGAGCTTGCAGAGGACCAGTTTGTTTTATAGCTCCTGATGTAGCCTCAGGTCAAAGGCAATGAAGGAGTAAACATGAGCCTTTCTTGAGGGCCTGGTGGTACATATAGGTCAAAATGTGACTGGTATTGCCATCCACTGATAAGGAGGGATACTGTAGCTCAGCTCCATTTGCTGCCTTAATCCCAGAAAAGGAGAAAGGAATATTTCAGAAGTTGTTTGTACCAAATTCTAGAATATTGGAAGATTTCAAGTGATACTAGAGAATGGAAACAGCAGATGCAGGAATTAAGAAAAGCAGGAAAAGGCTAACAAGACAAAGGAGATCCATATAATGAAGGTAATTGCTACAGGCATTCCTGCCAGCCAAGTTTTCCAACTCAGTCTTTTGGAAAATTTCCTTTTTTCTTACTGAGACTGTATCTTTGATTTTACAACAGAAGTTCATGGGAGAACAGGATCATTTTATAACTAACTTTATTGAAATGTATCTATTCCAATGATACAAGGAACACACTGACCAAAAAACTCAATAAACAGGTTTCCTTGTAAGGTGACCAGTCTCAGCTCCCAGAGAGGAAATCGGACTACTCATCTGGCTCCAGTTCTGTAAATGGAACCTGAGGACACTGTGGCTTTAAAAGCTCAGCAAGGGATTTTTTATTTTTTTTACAAATCACTGGTGATAAAAAAAGAAACCAGGCTGAACTTACCTCTGTCATGCGGGGCTTGCGGGAGCTGGATGGCACAAGCCTTCCTGCCTCAGGATGCGGAGCTGTGGCCATGGTGTATGTCTCTTTACTCACTTTCTGCTTAGACCTCAGGAGGGACAAAGCAGCTTTAGTGGAAACCCCCGGAAGGTTGGGGTTGTACAAACTTATGCACCAACCAGCGTAAACAGAGGACCTCCTATCTGCATGCTGGATGTGATTTGGCTTAATGTAGTTTAAATAGCACCAACTGACATTAGTGGTTGTGTGGAGGCTGGGGAACTGCAGTACCTTCTTTGAGTCCGTACCTTCTTGTGACTTGGCTGGTCTGGAGGACGTTTCTGACAGAGGCAGAGAGCTGGGAGGTGCCAGGGAGGGGAGGTCAGGTTGTTCCTTGGAATCTTCTTTCTTCACGCTCAGTGGGGGCAACCCTCTTTGGTGAGGTTTGACAGATGGCTGGGCATATTCCTTCAAAGCTTCTGAGCCTGGGGCTGTCCCATGGGGCAATGTAGGGTGAGGAAGGGGAAGAATTTCCTTTGGGTCAGATAGATCCGAGGACAGGCTAGACAGCATTTCTAGCTCCCTCCTGCCCTGGCCCTGGCTGCCTAAGTGGGATTTCTCTGGCCTCTTCCCATCCTCAGTGCTGGTAAGTACCACACTGCATGGTTTTACCAGCTCAAGTTTTTCATCTGCCTTGGAAGCCTCCTCCTCCTTCACTCTTTTTTGCTGCTGGGTTTCCATGGCAAGTTCAAGGCTGCCAGCTGGTGAAAGGACACGTTTGCTTCCCCCTGCTGTTGATGAACTCCCCTCTGGGCTCAAGACACTCTCTGATGACAGGGAAGTGCCTTTTCTTTCAGGTAATGTCACAGGCACTCTCAGGTATGGAGTCAGGAAAGCTCTGCTTTGCTCTTCATTTGGTCCAGAAGCTCCGGGCCCAACCTCATGCACATCTGCACCATACACAGTTGTCCCTTTGGATGGGGTTTCCTCAAACTTGGGAAGTGCCACAGTTGCTGAGCTGCCTTGGGACTGGGTGACCAAGATCTGGGAAAGGGTGGTGTACATTGCGCTCCCATAGGATGGCATGTTGGTCTGAACACGGACGGGCACAACAAGGGACACCATGGTGTCTGGACAGGTGGGCAGGGCCAGTGGAGGGGCTGGCGAAGGTGCTGAGGAGCTGGCTGAGGGAGCCACAGTGGGCAGCCGGATGTCACTGCTATACTCTGTGCTGGGAGAGAGGCCAGCACTTCCTGTAGCCAGTGGGGCCAGGCTGGTTTTGATCTGGGGCAGATGGCTTTCCATATCACCAGGGAGCTGAAGTGCAAACTGGGATTGCAGAGGCAGAAAAAACCCAGAAGAGAGTGCTGAGGAGGATGGGTATGGCATGGGGAGGAAGGAAGGGGGCTGCCGGAAGGGGATGTTGGCTGGGTGAGGCATGTGCTGGGGGAGATGGAGTTGGCCTGGGTGCAGAACAGTAGGCTGGAGAGGAAGCGGTGGGGCTTGAAATAAGGAGGGAGGAAGTGGGGGCATGGAGTATGGTGAGGACAGGAGGCTGGACATGGCCTGGGTGGAGAAGAATTCTGGAGACTGTCCTGGCTCATGCTGCAAGAGGTGCTGGAAGGAGAAAAGGGAGACGGGTGGTGGCAGGTACGGCTTCTCATGCAGGGGTGTCTGGGCAACGGGGTGGTGGAACACCTGCAGTGCTTCTGTGTAGGGTACAGTGGGCCCCAGCAGGGGCCTGTCCTGCCCTGGGCCCTTGCTTCCCAGGGGCCCACCATGCGAGGTGGCCGTGGGAGAAATCTGGGACAAGGAGCTTTTGGTGGAGGGTTTACTGGATGAGGGCTGTGGTTCTTCACTCTCCTGTCTTCCCTTGGAGGCAGCCTCCAGCTCAGATTCTGGAGGCCTGCTCAGAGAGGCCTGTCTCACCAAGAAGCATTTTCTTCTCTCTGGTGGGGCCACCCGTGCAGGTGGAGCCACTGGGGCTGGAGCAGAAGGGCCTGTCAAGGACAAGCTGCCATAGTCGAAGGATTTGCTGCGTGTCTCGGTCATGTGGGCAGAATGGGAAACATTGGGGCTCTGTTCTGAGGCTGACCTCCGCATCTCTCGGGCATGTGGGTGGTGGCTGGGGACAGTCAACATGTGGGTGCCCAGGGGTTTGGGGCGCGTGTCAGATGAGGGACCGGGGGCCTCAGCTTTCCCATGGTCATCCCTCTCAAATGAGGCTGAGCGGCTGGACCCGCTCAGAGAGACACTGCTTTCCTGGCTTGGGCTGCGAGACAGAGGCACGGAGGACTCAAAGCTGGACTCCCCTGATGACTGGGCCATCTCTGCCAGGCGCAGCCTCTTCTTTTTGGGTGGCAGCTTCTCAGCTGGGAGCTGGGCAAGTGTCTGGCTGCGCTGGGGCCACTGAAACTCCTCAGTCTTCTCAGGTTCCTTAGGAGGTGGCTCTGGCTCTGTGTCCGGCCTGTCGGGCTCCTCGGTTACCAGGATCTCAGGAACCTGAATGTTGGGCTGGCGGACCAACTTGGGCTGCAGAGAGTGAGCCGAGCGTCCATGTGGGGCAGGTGGGGGCGATGGGAACTGGGCCAGAGGTTTGTCTTCCCCTTCCAAGCCACTCGGCTGCTCGAGAGAATCAGATTTCTCAAAGGAGCTGGTGTGCTGGATGACAGAAATTTCTTTGGATGTTGTTCTCCTCTCCTTCCCTGATTCTGAACCAGACCCTGGCTTGGGAGTCCTTGGCTGGAAGCCCATGGGTCCCTCCAAGGAGGGCACTGATTTACTTTGTTCTGCTGGTGACTTGGTGGACTCCAGGGGAAGGTTCCGAGCAGCATCGGATGGCCCGGGGCTGCCAAACTGACTTTTTGTGGACTCGAAGGCAGGTGGCTCTTCCTCATCCCCAAGGCTCTTCTCTTTCCTCCTCTTCCGCAGTGGAGTGAGTTCCAGGGTGGTCCCCAGTTTGTAATGCATCATCTGGGACCACGGCTCATGCTCAGTCTGACTCTTTTCAGCTTCTGGAGATATGTGGGTGGCTGCAGAGATGGGCTTTGTGATCTGAAGCTCTGAGCAGTAGTATTTTTTGTGGGCTTCATAGTTATCCCTTTTCTTGTACCGAGCACCACATATGTTACATTCATAGATCACCCCTTTTGTTTTCAAACCCTTCTTGGTCTTTTTGGTAAGTTCGCTTTCCTTGGGTTCCAGCTCATCTGAGGGCTTGGAGGCTGTGTCTTTGCTGCTTGGTCCAGGCTCCTCGGAACTGTACTCCCCTCCCAAAGGTAATTCGATTGCCGGCTGGCGCTTCAGCATCCGGGGATGGGAGGTAAACACATGACTGCTGCGGCTCAGGGCTTCGGAGTCGGTGATATGGTCATCAAAGGAGTAGCTACCTCGGAAGGGGTGGTGAGGGGTGCTGATAGTGCAGGCAGCAGAAGGCATTGAGTGGCTTCTCAGGAGAGGCACAGGGGGGGCGGTACTGGGCGGGTGCTGGAGGCTCAGCAGTGATTGTTCGGGCTTGGTTTTCTCGCTGTGGGATGACAGGGGCTCCCGGTAGAGGCTGGATTTCGGGGACTCCATGCTGCTGCGCCTGGACAGCGAGCTCCGCCTTGGCTTCACGCTGTCAATCTCACTGGTGTCCACCACGGCCTCGTTGATGGTGATGAGCTTCGTGATGTGCTCAATCACCTGCGTCCGGGGTACAGACAAAGGCACCAAGCTGGGCTTGTCTTCGGTGGACAGGGGCAGGAGGGGCTGGGTGGAGGTGGCTGTCAGCATGGCGGTCCGCTGCCCTATGCGCCCACACTTGCCGAAGATGATCTCTGCGTAGGACTTGGCGTTGGTGTTTGGGGGGCTGACCTGCTGCTCTGCACTCTCGGAGCGGGAGAAATACCCAGACTCAGTACTCCCTTTGCTGCCTGGGCTCAGAAATGCCTGCTCATCGATCACCTTCTTTCTTTCGCTTAAGCGGAGGGCCAGCTTCTGCTTAATTGTGTGGGTGTCTTCGGGTTTATGGCTCAAGGGGTGCTCAGATGAGGGTTCCACAAACGGAGGGGGGTCCTCGAGTGACTGGACTGTGCTGGACTGGGACAAGGAGCAGCGCTCGTGACTGGAACTGTGGCTCCCAGAGCTGTACAGCCCGCTGGAGAGAAGGGGCTGCCTGGGTCTTGGGGAGAGCTCTGCAGGGTGACTGGAGGTGGCACTAGTCTCCTCTTCAGAATCTGTGCTTTCTCCCTCGGTGGGCTCCTCAAACTCTTCCCCAGGGATCCGCTCCATCTCCAGCCCTGGTGGGTACATCTCACCGCCCATGCCTGAGGCCAGGCCTGCTTTGATGCGGTGGGCATGGGACTTCCTGTGCTTGTAGAGATTACTCTTGGTCTTGAAGGAGAAGCCACAGGGACCGCAGGGGTAGGGCCGCTCCCCCGTGTGTGAGCGAATGTGCTTCTGGAGCACGCTGGGCTTGGCACAGGGCCGGCTGCAGTACTGGCAGATGTACTTGCCTGGCTTCTGGGGCTTCCTCTCCTTCTTGTGTGCCTCTTCTGTGGGTTTCAAGGAGACCTGGGAGGGACGAGGCACAAAGACCTTGGGGACGCCAGGAAGGTCCTCAGGAGGAATGATGGAAGCATGGGAAGGAAGGAGCTGGCTCTGAGGATGGAGCCCAGGGGCCACAAAGGAGCCAGATGGTCCCGGTCTCATGGGGTCGACCAATTGCCACGTGGACCCCTCCAGGAGATGCTCAGGTTTGCCGGGCGACATGAATGCTGGTGTGAGAGGGTGCTGCGGAAGCTGTGAGATATGGACGGATGCTTCGATGGGGGGCCTTTTGGGGGGTTTCTGTGGCTGGCCTGTTTTCTCCTGAGAGCCTTCCCTAAGAACTGATGAGGGGCCCGGGAAGGGCTGCGGGGCTAGGAGCTCTTGGGCGGGGCTCTCTTGGGTGGCAGCTGGGTATGGGATGCTGGAAGGAACACTGGTCTGAATGGCCTCTCCCTTGGTCAGCCTCTTCCGGGGACTTCCCTCAGCCTTCTTGGTGCCCTTGACACTTTGTTCAGGATCCATGACCTTCACAGAGACTTCAGATGCTATTCAGGGAGAGTCAGGGCAGGCTGCATTTACGAATAATTCCAGTGTCCCGAGGAGGTGTCCAGCTTTGGCCACATTGGTCAAGAGCTGCGGAAGCCACACCCAAGACGGCTTTGGGAGTTTTTTTGCAAGTGTCACTGGCTGTGAGTAGACTCGGAGCAGGTCATCAGGGCCTGAGCTATACTACTGGTGAGGCATGGCCCTCTAGTTTGCAGACAGAAAACGCACCAGCACTTTCTGCTGGAATGTCTGTCGGGAAAACGTCATGAAGGATGTCAGTATTGCCATTGTATTGTTTCAGCTGGCAGTGGCAGGTGGCCCCCACGAGTCCCCTGTGTGCTACGCGAATGGTTGAAGGTTGGAGACACATGTGTCCATGGCCCAGTCATCCCTGGTCCTGGCACGAGAGATGCCACGCTGGATGCTGGGGGGTGGCTCCGTTCCAGCCTCTTCTCCCCTTTAGTTCTGGGTTGGAGATCAACGGCCTTGGAGGAGAAATCACACTCTTCTTCTGTGTGATGGAAGTACACACAGAGAGAAATACACACACACACAAGAGAGAAGACAGAGTTACTGGGACTCATGCACAGCCTGGGCAGCCCAGACTCAGTACCTCACCTGGCCAAGGCCCCTCAAAGGTTAACCAGGGAAACTCAACCAGAACCACAGGCTCCAGCTTCACATGGCCAAGCCTGCAATTCTTTCCTCCCTGCTCCCATATCAGTGTTGGGTGACCTGAATGCCAGTGTGTTTCTGAGGACTGTGGCCATGTGGGATGTTGACAGAAGGCAAAGTGGGTTCTGGGAACTGTGGGGCAGTTAGGGACAGGAGGCCTGGGCTCCCATCTCTGCTCCGTGATCTACTCTGAGTGGGTCTGAGCTCTCTAAGCCTCAGTTGCCTAATCTATAAAATAGATAACAAATCCTGCTTCGACTGTGCCTCGGAGCTGCAGAGGGGCCCGATGAGATAGAAGATGCAGATGCTGCTAGGTGAACTCTGGATGGTGCTGTGGCTGGTGCAGGAGGGAAGTGCCTGTGGGTTATTCAGGGGTGAGTTTCCAAGGGGTAGATTATTCTGAGGTTAGTATTTCTCTCTGGCCTGGGTTCTGAAAGTGTCCACGAGGGACATCATCCACTGCTTTTTAACCGCCTTGCTAACCCATGCTCCAGCTGGTGTTTCAAGGCCAAACTGCAAACTATTGCCACAGCCTGTGAGAACTTATCATCTGACACAGCTGTGACCACTCACTTGCTCTAAGTAATTGCCAGGAGGCTCATTCTGGGAGGTTCCTCTGGCTTTGCAGCCTCTCCTTGTCTAGTTAGTGCCCCAGGGATGCCATGGAAGTATGGGAATCCTTGCCCCCGAGTGGAGGTGCAAAGCTGGTCTGTGTGGAGCCCCACGTGTGTGCCTCCTCTTAGGGCTGGCTGCAAGCTGGGCAGGCTCAGCTTTCTGGGCTCAGGTGCCTCCTTAGGACCCTCCTCCCCAGAAACAGGGTCAGAATCCCAAGTCTGGAGTCACCATGGACCCCATCTCACCCAACCACCTGACTTGGGACCCCAGCAGGAAGGTGGTTTACTAATGGTCCCGTCTTGCTAACAGGCAGTGTCGCCACCTGGACCCAGACCTCCTATGGCCAGAGTTTGTTCCCCAGCCCCTTCTCAGGTGTTCATCCCCTGGCAAGGGCCTGGGTGAGTGATAAGCACCTCTGTGCATGCCCTACCCCTGGCATCCTGCCCTCAGGCTCCCCTCATGCCCGCACTCTGCTTTTCACTAGATGTGTGATGATACAGACTTGAAAATTCTGCTTACTACATTTTTGCAGGTGCTCACAAGATTAACAAGTCTTTAAGACTCAAATAATTGTCTCTTAAAAGGCAAGGCCTCAGACACTGACGTACTTTGGAGAAGCAGATGATTTGTTCTTTTAGCCAAAAAGCATATCCTCTAAGTTCACTCCTTTTGTGTTCCTTTTCTACTCGGTGCTACAAAGAATTCAAAGTAACTATAACAAAATCAAGTTTATAGAAGAATGACAAACTATAGATATGAGAAAATTATAAATAAATAAATAATCAGAACAAAGAAAACCCAAATAAGGCAGAAAGTCAGGATTGGTGGGCTAAAAAGAATACTGCTATACCAATAAGGACTTATGGTGTTTCTATAATTCAGCTATACATTTATATATGAGCTTCCTGGCAACCAAGTAGAAAAGGGAGATTCGGTCAATTACAGTCTTTTATAGCCAGAGAGGAAGGAACATCCAAGTTGTTTGCAAAACTTTTTCATGTGGCACTTCAGTCAGCAGCAGTGAATGATGCAGGGGACCATCTATGTCTTCAATGACACCCCTCTAGTCATTGAATACAGTGACTGATTTGATGACATTCCTCTAGTCATTGGGTACAATGCAAATACAGTGAATGATATTTGTTGATAAAAGACCACGTATCAGCAGAGACTCTCCTATGAGCAGTCAAAGCCTGCTTTGGTATAAGTCACAGGAGGCCTGAGTGTGGGGAAGACAGGGAAATCTCATTTCATTAGATTACATCTCAGTCAACAGGGTGGCCATATAAGACACCATCCAAACGGGGACACTTGGAGAATGAATGGGAACTACTAACAATCGTGCAGGAACAATAGGAATAAACGAGGGCAGTCCCAGGCACACCAGGACAAATGGTTACCCTTACCCTTTGGCCTTATGGCCAAAACCAGGCGTAAGAGCCCACTGTCTCTGGGTGTCTGCTACAAAATTTTGATCTCTTCTATGGGGACTAAAGTTACACCATGAACGTCTGATAGATTTTTAGAGACTGGCTGTCTAGTCCAATCCTTTCATGTGACAGGGAAGACTGAAGGCTAGAAAGGTGATATGATTTTCCCCGCAAAGCTCCAGGGAATGGTGGCAGGGCTGGACCAGCCTGTGCCTCTTGGCCCCCCAGCCAGGGCTGTCTCCCAGCTGAATTAATAAAAGTTTTCTGTGGCTTCTGTGGCATGATGAGCACTACAGTCCATGGCCCCTAGTCCTCTGGAAGCATGGGCATGGCCCCAGGTGACATCACTGTACCCATGGTAAGGGGAAGTAAAAACCTGTCTAGCATCTCAACAACAGAGTTGGCCTTTCAACCTATGTCCTAACCTCACTGCAGCTGCTGGATAGGAGAAATGGGGAGCCCAGCTAAGGTGGGGGAACTCGTCCTGGCAGCACGACCCTAGGTCTCACTTACCTAAGGTGGGCAGAAGTGCTGAGCCTTCTAAAAATCAGACATGGTGGACATGGTTTGTAGCACAGACAGAGAACTGCCCCTTGGGGCTGGGCTGGGGCTCCTGGGCCTGGTTGCACTGAGCATGGAGAGGTCAAGGGTTGACTACACTTACTAATCTTATTGACCCTTTCACTCATGGATCTGAGAGCACCCCAAAACACTAGTGGTAAGCTTTGTTTCTTCTGATGGATGGATGGGACCCTGCAGCATGACTGGGTGGTGACATGATCACTCTGAGTCGGGGCAGCTGGCCAGGTAGGACCTTACACTGTTTAGTCCTGTGCTCTCCCCTCACTAAGCCACAAGGCTGTCCTTGGCAGGTGGGGGAGCACCCAGCATCTGGGGTTTGGTGCAATTCCCAGGGCCAGGTGGGAGGGGCAGGGTGGATGAAGGAGACAGTCAGGTGACTGTGGCATCATCAGATGACCACAGGGCCAGCACTCCTGCCCAGGGTCAGTGTCCAGCCTGCACCTGTGGGCTGGACATCATGTTCCTCCAATGAGAGCCTGTCTACCCACACTTCTGAGTGGGCAGCAAAAAGGCCACAGAAGCACCAATGGCAGCCAGGGCACAGAGTGGCTCGCTCAAGCCACACTGGGGCTTGGCCTCCTGGGCTAGTGCTCTCTGCCAGCCTGCTTCACCACATCACGACAGGTCTGAGGTGCTTCACAGGAGGGGCCGGGGGAGAAGGGCAGGCAGGACCACAGGTGCAGATGTGGGGAACCCGCAGGGCCTGAGGAGACTTCTACCTTGGAATGGATTCCAATTGTGGTACAGCATAAACTGAAGGACTGTTCTAATGACTGTGACCAATAGACACTAAGAAAATGGCTCTTTTCTACCTTCTGTGGTTCTGGGGTATGTGTGAAATGTTAATATAAAGTTCAAGTGATAAAGAAAAAACCACTTCTTTAGGGAATTGGTGACAGCACCTGTAAAAGACACCAGATAAATGGGCCCAGGAGCTGGGCCAACAGGGCCCTGAACCTCAGACCAGAACAGGATGAACAGCCTCTACTGATGGTCACAGAATGGCCATGAGGCCACCGTCTGCCACCGAGGCCACAGCCCACAACAGAGACCAGCTTATAACCCTGAGGAGCACCTGAGCTTCAGCAGCCAACTGGTTAGCGTACCTGACAATTCAGCTCCCACTTCAAGCAGCCTCCTTAGGTCTAACTGCGGGAACAGCCCAACAGGAAGGAGATCAGGACTTGCTGGGGCTGAAGCCACAAAGGCCTCAGGGGAGCGGGAAGTGATGCAGGAGCCTGGGGCCGAGGCAGGAAGGCCTGAAGGACTGAAACCACACTGGAAGGCGCCTTCTATGGAAGGCATCAGGACAACATGGCCACAGCCCAGAGTGGACGGCCCAGAGGAACTTTCCAGAGAGTGGTGGGGGAGGGGCTCTCTCAGGTGGACGATGCCACCAGTCCCAGCAGGAGGCCAGCTTGAATCTGCCTTGGGATCTAGAATGAGGAGCTTGGGCCCCCAGCCAAAATCAGATAAGGCTGGGGCGAGATGGGGACAGGGGTCTGATGTCCAGGGAGCTGTTAGGCCAAGCTGGCCCCAGGCTGGTGGAGCTTAACACAGCTCTTTGCTTGTCATTTACTTCCACACACACCCACACATCTCAACCTGCCAATATCTGGTCAAAAATTTTACTGACCATAATAAAACATACTGATATCAAAAATATAAGAAAACCTTCCTTTTAACTTCAATACCTAGTAACCCAGGGCACAAGGCCACAGGCTGAATAGGAGGCAATCAGTAAAGTATTATTTAATGACCTACCAACAAAACCAGTGCCCCTTCTAAAAATATCTGTGTACAACACTCTTTGTCTATGCATGTGTGTGTGTGTGTGTGTGTGTGTGCGCGCGTGCTTACGCTGGGGCAGAATTCTTCACCAGAATTCTACCACCCCAGTGGCTGTGGGCTCAGGTGGTGGTAACAAAATAAGCCAGATATAAGGACATGGGTCTGGAAGCTAATGGGGAGAGGTGGTCAGACAGTCAGAGGAAGTCTGGGCAAAAAGAGAGGCCAAGGTCAAGGAGGGGCTCTGGCTGGGAGCAGGGACTATGGCAGAGACTAAAGATTTCTTCCATTAGCAGTTCTCTTTCTTGTAGCAATCACAGGCCCCCATGCCTTCGCTGGGTCTGTGGCCATACAGCTAGAGGCTGCCTTTCCCAGCCTCCCTTGCAGCTAGTTCTGGCCCATGATGTATGTGCCTTATAGG